TTTGCATAGTCAATAAAACACAAGTAAACATCTTTCTGGTATTCTTTGCTTTGAGCCAAGATCCATCTGACATCAACAATGATATCCCTCATTCCATATAAAGTGGCAAAGCAGAGGGACAGCAAAAAGGAGGAAGGCTGTTAACAAGATGGATTAACACAGTGACTGCAATAATGGGCTAAAAATACAGCAACAATTGTGAGCATACTACAGGACTGGGCAATGTTTCATTCTGTTGTACTAAATAAGGTTGCTATGGGTCAGCACCAACTTGACAGCACCTGACATCAGGGTTGCATATTTTCACCTATTTGTTCAATCTGTATGCTGAGCAAATAATCCAAGAAGTTGGATATGAAGAAGAATGTGGCATCAGAACTGGAAGAAAAACAATTAACAACCTGTGATACGCAGATGACACAATCCTGCTTGCTGAAAATGAAGATGACTTGAAGCATTTGCTGATGAAGATCAAATGTAACAGTTTTCAGTATGGATTATTACACCTCACCACAAAGAAAATGAAAATCCTCACAACTGGACCAATAAGCAACATCATGATAAATGGAGGAAAAAATAAAGTTGTCAGGGATTTCATTTTACTTGGATCCACAGTCAACATCTATGGAAACAGCAGTCAAGAAATCAGACATCATACTGCACTGGGAAAACCTGGTGCAAAAGATCTCTTTAAAGTGTTAAGAAGCAAAGATGTCACTTTGAAGGCTAAGGTGTGCATGACCCAATCCATGAGATTTTCAATGGCCTCATATGCATGTGAAAGCTGGACAACGAATAAGGAAGACTGACTGAGGAATACTGAATATTGAATGATGCAGGAAACATCAAAAGAAGATGGAAGGAATACACAGAGTCACTATACCAAAAAGAACTGGTCGATACTCATCCATTTCAGGAGGTGGCATATGATCAAGAACCAATGGCATTGAAGGAAGAAGTTGAAGCTGTACTAAGGAAGTGGCTAAAAACAAGGCTCCAGGAATTGAAGGGATAGCCATTAAGATGTTTCAACAAATGGGTGCCAGGCTGGAAGCTGTCACTCATCTATGTCAGGAGATTTAGAAGACAGGTAACTGGTCAACTGACTGGAAGAGATCCATATTTTAACCCATTCCATAGAAAGGTGATCCCACAGAATGTGGAAATTATCAAACAATATCATTAATATTGCACCTCAATTCACTGCTGTCAAGTCAATTTCAACTCATAGTGACCCCTCCTTGGATTTCCGAGGCACTATCACTATGGAAGTAGATTGCCCAACTTTCCTTCTGAGGACTGGCTGGTGGGTTTGAACCACCAGCCTTTTGGTTAGCAGTCAAATGCCTTATGTACTATGCCACTAGAGCTCCTATCATTAATATTGCACACAAATAAACTCTTATTGAGGATAATTGAAAAATGGTTGCAGAAGTATACTGACAGAGAACTTTCAGAGATGCAAGCTAGATACAGAAGAGGATGTGGAATTGGGGATACCATCACTGATGTCAGATGGATCTTGGCTGAAAGCAAAGAATACCAGAATGATGTTTACTTGTGTTTTATTGACTATGCAAAAGCATTTAATTGTGTGGATCATGTTGTTGTTAGTTGTTGTTAGGTGCTGTTGAGTAGTTTCTGACTCATAGCAACCCCATGCACAGCAGAATAAAACATTTCCCAATCCCACGCCAGCTCCACGATCCCTGCTATACTTGAGCTGTGGATCATAAGATTATGAATAACACTGAGAAGAACGGGAATTCCAGAACACTTAATTGTACTCATGAGAAACCTGTACATAGATCAGGGGACTGTCATTCAAACAGAACAAGGGGATAGTGCATGGTTTAAAATCAAGAATGGAGTGTATCAGGGTTGTATCCTCTCACCATACTTACTCAATCTCTATGCTGAATAATCTGAGAAGCTGGACTATATTAAGAAGAAGATTGCATCAGGATTGAAGGAGGGCTCATTAATAATCTGTGATACGCTGACAACAGAACTTTGCTTGCTGAATGAGGTTGATTTGAAACACTTACTGATGAAATTGAAGAAAACAGTCTGCAGTATGGATTACATCTCAAAATAAAGAAAATATAAATCTTCACATCTGGACCAATAAACAGCATCACAATAAATGGAGAAAAGACTGAAGTTGTCAAAAACTTTATATTACTTGTTCTACAATCAATGCCAATGGAAGCAGCAGTTAAGATATCAGATGATGTACAGCACTGGGAAAACCAATGGCAAAAGACTTCTTTTAAGTGCTGAAGAGAAAAGATGTCTCCTTGAGGACTAAGGTGCACAAGCCATGGCATTTTCAATTGCCTCTCATGCGTGTGAGAGCTGGACAATAAATAAGGAAGACTGAAGAAGAGTTGATACTTTTGAGTTGTGTTGGTGAAGAATGCTGAAAGTATCACGGGCTGCTAAAAGAACTAACAAAACTGTCCTGGAGGAAGTGCAGCCAGAATGCTCCTTGAAAGCAAGAATGGCCAGACTTCATCTCACCTACTTTGGTTATGTTGTGAGGAGACCATTCCCTGGAGAAAGATATCATGCTTGGTAAACTGGAGGATCGATGAAAGAGGGGAAGGCCCTCAACAAGATGGATTGACACAGTGGCTCCAACGATGGGCTGAGGTATAGCAGGGATCATGGAGCTGGTTTAGGCCTGGGCAACGTTTCGTTCTGCCGTACATACGATTGCTATGAGTCGGAGACGTCTCAATGGCACCTAACAACAACAAAAAGGTCACTATGAGTTGAAGCCAACTAGATGGGACCTAAAAACAAAAATGTATATATAGAGATTTATTCTGTGTGTCTCCATAGGAATCAAAGTGCCAAGAATAAGTAGTAATGGGAGACAGATATGAGGGATAATAAAACAAAAACAAAAAAAAAAACTCACCATACTCACTGCACCTGAGTTGACTCACAGCAACTCAATTGGGTTTCCAAGACTGTAAATGTTTGTGAAAGCAGAATGCCCCATTTTTCTTTCATGGAGTGGCTCGTGGGTTTGAACCACCAACCTTCTGGTTAGCAGCTAAATGCCTTAACCACTATACCACCAGAGCTCCACTACAACAACATGGCTGCTTGAAATGCTAATGAGATTTACTTAACACTGGAGTTATGCAAATAAATACTGAACAACAACTAGTCAGGATGTCACAGAAAAAATCTGGGATTAGATTAGGGGATTAGAGATCACAACCTATTCTCATCTATGATTGTATGAGTCTATGATTTTAACACAGTGTAACACAATTCCAAGAGTTGGACAAGTATCTTATGAAGATGATGATGGTGAGTGTCAATGGATTGATTCTTTTGGAATATAAATTAAATAAGTATGTGGCTCTTATTATCTTATTTGGTTATTTAAAATGAAAAATAACTGATTACTATTTTCTACATAAGCATCTACTATAACTTGTACTATTAAGCCCAATGGATTATATCCAATGAAAAACTTGTATATGAAGAATTTCCACTGTGCTGTCAACCATTCTATAAAAGTTTTTTAATAGTTGCTGTAATAGTAATGTAAAATACCCACCATAGTTTGATTAGTAGTATTTTACCAAAATCTTTCTTATATAAAGAAATCTGACTCTTAGAAAATTATGAAGTAGCCTACAAGATAAACCAAATAAATTCAGAAGAAAGAAATTATTTCAATCTCTAAAAATAAATATCTGAATATTAAGATGGCTCTGTTAAAATAAATGACAAATGGGCAACACATCTTTTTTGTAAGTATATTAACTTGATTTTGTATATACAAACTAGAGACTAACAAATTAAGCTGTATATAATTTTCAGTTACTTTTTGCCATAATTTGTAAAGTATCTTTTGAAATAGAATAAAGGAGTATCAGAATAATTATTCAATCATGTTAATGAAAAAGAATAGTTACCTGTCTGGAAAAAGACTCTAGAAATAATTGTTCGACACAAAGGGCAGGGAGTGTTTGCAGGATTGTCTTTGGCCAGAGTCCGTAAACATGGCTCACAGAAGATGTGGTGGCAAGGATAACACATGTAAGGGTTGAAATAAACATCCAGACACACTGCACAAATGTAGCTTTCCTTTTCCTCTGTATATGCATTATCATCTGTACTCATCTCATTATTCAAAGTCTGCAAAACAAAAGCAAAAGCAATTTTTCTTAGTTCAATATGAGATACGTTTACTTGTAAAAGAATGGTGGATTTTATATTTTGTTAAAATGAATAAAAATATTAATGAGAATCACATAATATATACTTCTGTAACATAGTCAAAGGGACAGACATGCATTCCTATAAAATGAGAAGAAACTAAAAACATACATGATCCAGAGTATTTTTTTCATTAGTATTTATATATAATGCTAAATGCTAAAATATATCTAATCACATTAAGTATATCTATATTTCTAGCCAGTGTTAGTTAAGTAACTGTTAGGTGAACTCATCCTAGGATTACAGATTCCCCATTCACTCAGGCACAATCACGGCAAATCCAATCACTGTTACAAGGCATCCACGCATGAAGAAAAGTGAGAGCAGGAGGGTATCATATTTCACCCTGAGATACCACACAGAACATCTTCTGTTTGACATTTTGCACCCTCCTGGACCTCAAAGCTGAGAAAGGAACAGAGCTTAAAGTTATGTCAAGAGATGGAAATGCCAAACAAACTTGCAGCATTTGTGGATTAGTCTCCTAGCTTGGAAAAAGGGCTACCCTCTCACCATTAACAATAACAAAAAATACAGTAATTGAAAGGAGGCTATTCGTAAAGAGGTAGTTAGGGAGGAGGCAGCTCAGAAGTTAGAAGCAAAAGGTCTGGCGGTAGAACTTCTAACCTGTTTCCACCTCTGTGAGGTTGTTGTAAGGAGTAAATGAGGTAATCAATATAAAGACCTAGCATAAGTATTGAGTCAATGTCAGCAGCAGTACCTCTTCTTCCTCCTAACATACTCTCTCCTACTATTCCCTCTCCCTCTTTTTCCTTCTTCTCCTAATATCCCTCTACCACGTTGTCCTCCTCCATAGGCCATGTAGTTTTTTCTAAAGTCTTGAGAACACTTTTTCAAACCAGGCCTGGACTAAGTCCAGTGATGGATATTGTAAGTATACAGGGTGAATTTTTTTCTTCCTCACTTTGTTTTCTGTGAAAAATGATGATCAATTATTAATATTTAGGAGGGCCTTGGATTCAGCAAATATTTGAAAGTTGCAAGAAATGTAAAAGTTATCTAAATGAGACAAATAGAACCTTAAAAATACAGAAAAACCTTACCACTGGATAAAATATTATTTGATTTATCCACATGGCTTTGCTTCCTCAATGCAATCATTTAAATGCCACTTGTTGGTAATCTCTCTTTTATGAAGGATATGTTTGAATGTTTAGGTTATGTATTTTTTTGGGGGGCAGGATATTTCTGACAGTACTGTAATATCTATTGAAAGTAGACATCTACATAGAGTTTTTTTTAATTGAGATAATTTATATACAATCAAATGCACAGAGCTGGAATGTTCATTTGAACTTTGACAATTACAACCTGATAACCACAACCAGCTATACTGCTTTCTATTGCCAAGCATTAGTGTTATCTGTTCTAGTAATTCATATAAATGGAATATTGTACAGTCTGGATTCTTTTGCTCAGTATAATATTTTTTGAAATGTATCTATTATTGTTGCATATTATTAGTAGAAGTTTATTATTTTATTTAATGAAGAATAGAATTCCATTATATGATTCCACAGTTTTAGTCTTCTGTTAACTTTTAGAGTGGCTTCTAATTTAGAACTATATGAGCAAAACCAAGACCAAACTCACTGCCATCGAGTCGAATGCAACTCACAGTGATTTCCATTGGGTTTCGGAGGTGGTAAATCTTTATGGAAGTAGATTGCCCCATCTTCCTTTCATGGAGCAGCTCGTGGGTTTGAACTGTCAACGTCTGGTTAGCAGTCAAATGCCTTATGCACTGTGTCACGAGAGCTCCTTATATGAGTAAAGCTACTATGACTAATCTTGTGCAAGCCTTTTTCTGGACATATATCTTTATGAATCCTGAGTAAATGAGTCATATGCTAGATGCATGTTTAACTTTATGAGAAACTGCCAAGCACGTTGTTTCACAGCCTACTTTGGCAAGTAGCGACTGGGATCTTAAAAGCTTGCAAATGGCCATCTAGATCCAACGATGGGTCTTTCCTCATCCAGAGCAAAGAGGAATGAAGAAAACCAAAGACACATGGAAACAATTAGTTCAAGCAACTGGTATACCATGCAATTCTCAGCGACTGTAAGACCAGAACTAGATGGTGCCTGGCTACCAATGCAACCACTCAGAGGGGGATCTATGTAGGAGATCCTGGATAGAATGGGAGAATAACGTGGAATAAAACTCAAAATCATTTAAAAAAAAAAAAAAAAGGACTAGGTTTGCTGGTTTGATAGAGGCTGATGGAACCTTTGGTGATTGTCAAGCATCTTTCCATATGCTTATTAGTCATTTGTACATCTTCCAGAAATGCAAGTTGGATTCAGAAGGGGACGTGGAGCGACGGTTATTATAGCTGATGTCAAATGGATCTTGGCTGTAACAGAAAGATGTTTACTTGTGTTTTACTGACTATGCAAGGCATTCAATTGTATGGATCATAGCAAATTGTGGATAATATTGAGAAGAATTGGAATTCCAGGACACTTAATTATACTCATGAGGAACTTGTACGTAGACCAGGAGGCTGTCATTTGAACAGAACAAGGGGATACTGCATGGTTTAAAATCAGGAAAGGAGTGTGTCAGGGTTGTACCTCTTCACCATACTCATTTAGTCTAAATGTTGAACAAATAATGTGAGAAGCTGGACTATATGAAGAAGAACGTGGCATCAGGATTGGAGGAAGGCTCATTAACAACCTGAGACACAAAGACAACACAACTTTGCTTGCTGAAAATAAGGATGACTTGGAGCACTTACTGATGAAAATTAAAGACTGATATATGGATTACACCTCAATATATATTTAAAAAAATGCTCACAACTGGACCAATAAGCAGCATCACAATAGATGGAGAAAAGAATGAAGTTGTCAAAGACTTCGTATCACTTGGTTCTACAATCAACACCAGTGGAAGCAGTGGTCAAGACATACATCAAAAGTCATATTGCACTGGGCAAATCTGTTGCAGTTTTAGTCTTCTGTTAACTTTTAGGGTGGCTTCTTTCAAGTGCTGAAGAGCAAAGATATCTCCTTGAAGACCAAGATGTGCCTAACCCATGCCATGGTATTTTCAATCACCTCATATACACATGAGAGCTGGACAATGAAAAAGAAAGACTGAAAAGTTGATACTTATGAGTCATGGTGTTGGCAAAGAATACTGAAAGTACCGTGGACTACTAAAAGAACTAAGAAATCTGTCCTGGAAGAAGAGCAGCCAGAATGCTCCTTAGAAGCAAGAACAGCCAGACTTCATCTCACCTACTTTGGTCATGTTGTCGAGAGGGACCATTCTCTGGAGAAGGATGTCATGCTTGGTAAAGTTGAGGGTCAATGAAAGAGAGGAAGGCCCTCAACAAGAAGGACTGACACAATAGCTGCAATGATGGGCTCATGTATAGTAGGGATCATGAGGCTGGCAGAGGACTGGGTAGTGTTTCATTCTGTTGTACATAAGCTTATGGTGAGTCAGAGATGACTCAAAGGCACATAACAACAATAATAACAACATCTTCTTTTGTGAAGTGTCCTAGTTTTTGCCTATTTTTTAAAAATTGAGTTGTTAATTTTATTATTGTTGATCTGAGAGTTCTTTAAACATTCTGGAAACAAGTGTTCAGTTAGATGTACGTACTACAGATACGTTTTCCCAGTGTATGACTTGTCTAATCAGTCAGTGTCCTTTCTCCTACCTACTTGGGGCTTAATTTGTTCTTTTTTCCCCTAGATTCTAAAGATATAAGCTTAAACCATTGGTTTTGCACCTTTTAATAAGGGAATTTAAAGCTATAAATTATTCTCTAAGTACAGTTTTATCTACATCGAGCAAATTTTGATATGCTATGTTTTACTATCATTCAACTCAAAATATTTTTAAGTCTTCTTGTGATCTTTCTTTTCTGACCTAAGAATTAATTAAAAGTGTGTTTCTAAATTCCAAATAGTTGAGATTTTCTAGATATCTTAGTTGTTATATTTTTCTTTTAATACTGCTGTAGTTAGAGTCAAGTTTTATGGTTCAGTATCTGGTATATCTTGGTCACATGGCTCATTTATTTTTAATTGGAATGCTTAATTTTTCTTATAGATATCTTATATGTTCATAGGCATTAATATTAATCTGGTTATTTGTTGTTTCCAATTATTTTAGTTATTATAAATAATGTGATTATAAATAATTATTTTTTTCTTTCTGTGGTCTGCCTCATGGTATCCTTTGATGAATCACAATGGTATATTTAATCACAAAGGGTCATTGATGCTTTTGAGTTGTGGTACTGGCGAAGAATACTGAAAGCACTATGGATTACCAGAAGAACTAACAAATCTGTCCTGGAAGTGATGCAGCTGGAAAGCTCCTTGGAAGTGAGAATGGCCAGACTTTGTCTCACCTACTTTGGCCATGTTGTCAAAAGGGACCATTCCTAGAGAAGGATATCATACTTGGTAAAGTGGAGGGTCAATGGCAAAGGGGAAGGACCACAACGAGATGGACTGATACAGTGGCTACAATGACGGACTCAGGTATAGCAAGGATTGTGAGGCTGGCGCAGGACTGGGCAATGTTTCCATCTGTTGTACACAGTGTTGCTATGAGTCTGAGCCAACTCAATAGCATCTAACAACAACATCGCTCATAAACACCGACACAAAATTTCTCAACAAAATCCTAGCCAATAGAATCCAACAACACATCAAAAAAATAATATATCATGACTAAGTGGGATCCATATTAGGTAAACAAGGATGGTTCAACATTAGAAAAACAAACAATGTAATCTACCACATAAATGACACAGAGGAAAAGAATGACATGATCATATCAACTAATGCAGAAAAGACATTTAATAAAATCCAACATGTATTGCTCTATAGACACTCAACCAAATAGGAATAGAACAAAA